GCTTTTTTCTTTTCTATATAGTTAGTCCTTGTATTGAAAATTTATGTACCAACTTAGACCATAAAATTTTTTTGATGTTGAAATTTAGTCTTTTAGTTATATTCCGTTAGATATTGGATATAAATGATGCATAATCTTATAAGTTCACCTTAAAGGAGGGACAATCTTATAATTTCATAAAAAATGAACCAAAACCATAAAGTTAATTTCACCTTAATTTTATCTTGTAATTTCTTTGATAAGATTCATTTATTTATTTATTTTGAGATACGAAACACTATAAACACGGAATGTATAAATCCTTTCTGCTATTTGTATGCAAGTTTTCTCATACACGCGTATGAAATTGATTTCCTCACACTAAACTCACAACAGTTATAAGTTATTAATGCATTAGGCGAAAAAAAAAAGGTTAATACATTGATTTTACAGAGGTAGATGAATCGTCATTCATATCGTATGTTGGGGGACTTCTAAATAATCATAGGGAAGTGATGTGAATTGGATTTAAGTAAAGAAAGTGGTTACGTGGAATCCCCATTTTCTGTCATATTTCCTGGAGATAGTCTATAAGTCAGGCGATAGTATCATATCATAGCTAGGTTGTTTGCAACGGTTGGGAGATGATAGACTATTAGAAGTATTCTTCAAGCATGAAATTGAAATCAAAGCTTTTTCCAAAATCAAGGATCTATTGTGCCCACAATGAAATATTTCTTTTAAAAAAAAAAAAAAATTAAACATGATTTTATGCAGGTTACTTTGGTTTTGTCTATTATCAATGAATTTAAATATCTGAACTTTCTTATGAAATAAATTGAACATTTGGTGTCTCTTTTTGCAAGAGATGGTGGGAGGGACGTTAATTTACTAATTTTTTTTATTACTTAACTACTAATATTTTAACATTAACCAGATTACTTTCAATGATGCATCTTTTTCGCTATAATAAGTCCTTCTGCTCCTTTGGCATTGCATTCAAGAAGCAGATAATCTAGATTCTGGGACAATGGAAAACACTGTTCTTTTCGATGATTCGAGTTTAGAATTCGAGTTTTGCTACAGTAAAAAGCTCTCAGAAACAGTTACATCTAATTTTTTTACTACAGTAAAAAACTCTCACACAACATCACATCTCAACTCGAATTAAAAACTCAAATTAGCGAACCGAACGGATGATTCTCAAAACTTTCAATGTTCCATATAGTCTCTAAGGCGCCTCGAATTGTTGAAGTGTAATGGTCTCTTCCCATTCTTGGTTGGATTAAACTTAATACTGATGGTGCTGCGAATGGATCGCCAGGGCTTGCGGGTTGTGGTGGTATTTTCAAAACTTATCGGGGCTTTTGTAAGGGATGCTTTGCCAAGCCTCTGGGCATTATATATGCTTATGAAGCTGAGCTAGCAGGGGTAATTACTGCAGTTCATTATGCCCAAAAATATGATTGGGATTGTCTTTGGTTCGAATGTGATTCTATGTATGTTGTCAATCTGCTCAAAATCAGAAGTCTTCATGTTCCTTGGAAGTTTTTAGCTGGGTGGAAGCGGGCTATTCAATTTCTCAATAGGAAGATGTATTGTGTTTCTCATATCTTCAGGGAAAGAAATCATGTCGCAAACAGGCTTGCTACTAATGTTGTTCACTTTGAAGATGAAGCATGGTGGTTTACAGTTCTAGGTTTCTGCATGGCGGGTATGGCTAAGGACATAGCCGGATTTTCCAAATATCGTTTTTATGATTAGTTTTTGTTTTTATCATTTGTTAAGCCGACTGTCTTTAGTAATTAGTAATTATGTACTCATTTTCCCTTTAATCTTTTTCCCAATGGGTTTTGGCTAGAGGGTCTTTATCGAGGCATAATTAGGGTCTTTAATAAAATAGTGTATTCATTATTTATGTGTATGTATTATTGAATAATTTATGAATATCATTCATGCGACTTTAATATTGTATAAAAGTGTTATATACGAGAGGATAATATTTAAGGATAATAATCGAAATAATATTCGTAATGAATTTAATTAAAGTTACGGAATCTTTAATTAGAACATTACTAATACAAGTCATTCTCATTAAGAATGGGATGATGTTATCCGCATTATCAACATAGAGGGATATTAAATGTGTATTATGCATAATAAGATTATGTAAAAGTGAGACATAAACACAATTTAATTTTATGATAATTTTCGTTAACTATAGAAAATCAAATTTGAGTTTACAGATAGTCATATATGGAATGATTTTAATCTTGAGTTATTAGTAGACTCATGTTTATGGATTTATGTTTTTTTATTTACTCAGTACGAATTTTGAGATCCTAAATCCTATTTCTAGTATTTTAGAAACTTGATGAAATGGATAGCCGAGAATGTTTACATACGAGATGGAATCCATTCATTCTTCTTTGAAGAAGTAGATAAATAATTCCCTTGAGGGTTGATTCAATACTTAAATAAGTAACGAGATCATATTCATGAATGTGTTTTATGAATATATTATTCATTAGAGAATCAATAGTACTCAAGGATAAATATATAATTAGAGAGGTTAATAGATTTTACCTAGCTCTAATTATGAATTATTTATGGAGGATTGATTTGACTATATCGAATGGACACTTTAAGTTCTTAGAAGTAAATTATGTCTATAATTTCAAGAGTGCAATTCAAAGTGTTTAGTGTAGTAGCTTTTAGAATTAATATAATTAATTAATTAATTGAAGAGTTTAATTAATTATTAATTTTATTGGAGCTCAAAATTATAGGTCCATGAGTTCCTACATCATCCTTGTAATATTTACAAGACAAGATCGAAATAAATAATGTGATTATTTAATTAAATTAATTTTAGAACATGTTGTGGTAGGACCACAGGAGGTCACACGCCCAAGCACAGGGAGGTGCAGGGGGTGCGTGACACAGGTATAATCCCACAGGGGGCGCGTGCTCTCCAAGATATCCGGTTTACTTGTTTGACAAGCTTTCCAATCAAATTCAAAAGGAAAGTGAAGTATGACTTTATTTAGATTTGAATTTGAGCTAAAATTAGAAGCTGGATAAAGGAGGAGTTTTCTCTCTCTTGCTGCATCTTTGCACTAGCTGGCCATATAGTAGAAGGAAAGAAAAGAATTTTGTATCCAAAATTAAATGAAAAACTGTGTTTTAATGAGATTAAAATATAACAGTAACTAATTTTTCTATTATTTTGTCTTCAAGTTAAAACAAAACGATTCTCCTAGTGTTCTATAAATAGGAGAAAGTAGAAAATAGGAGTAGAAAATTTTTTGCTCTTAAAATTCCTAAAGTAGCCAAATCTTAGAGAAAGAAAAAGAGAAGAAAAGTCCTTCTAATTCCCAATTTTTTCACATACATGTGTTGACGGTGAAGAGACACAAATTAACGAGTGATCTAATCCGTTAGTTCTTTATTAGGGCCCACACTCTAGGTCTTCAAAAATTTAAAGGACTAGACGGGAAAGATTCGGATTTTCTGAGCAAGTTTAGAGCTTGGACTGTTTGTGGTCAAAGACCTCAAGTTATCCGCTTGATCGATAGTTGGGTATCTATGTATATAAATTAATATGATTAATTTATTATTGCATAAATTAATATAATCCAAAGTGTATTTAAAAATTTTATAAAAATTTTTGTTATACATGATTCACACAATTACGCTTCCGCACTTGAAAACGTTTTGAAAAGTAACAGTTGGGATGTATGTGAAAGCTCTGATATCAGTTATCTCCTCTTTTAGTTTATTAAAAAAATTAAATAAAATGTGATTGAGGGACCAAATTTGAAACGTCAACAGAGTTCCTGAGGAAAATATTCTATAATTTTCGGCACAAGAACTAATTACAGGAAGAGGAGAAAGTTCATAATCTTCTGATGAATTTAAGTCTATAAGAAAAGTCATATAAACACCTATTAGAAAAGTCATGAACTCTCACTTTAATTCAGAAAGGTTTCATCTCTTGATTAATCAATAGGATTTATACATAATGAATTATTAAACCCTAATATTACAATTTACATTACGTAACTATTTCGTTTTGGGGATGGATACATATTTAACTACATCCACGTATAAAAAATTCTTACATATATATAATTACGTCTCAGTAGAACCAAGAAAATATTGCGATTAACTTCATCATGGTGACTGGTCACATATTCTACGGGCTTGTATAATATATCTACATTGTACGCATTTATATATATATATATATATATATATATATAATTTCTCTATCTTTCTTTTAAAAAAAGAAACTTACATATTTCTAGCAAATAAATCTTTCGTAGAATCTGGATATATTAAAGTCAATAGTACTTTTGATGGTGAATTTGCCAATAAAATAATGATGAATTTCTTTATAAAAAACGTATAAGTCTCATTAAAAATTTTATTTAAGATTCGGTATTTTACCCCACAATAATTACTAAGAAAATATTGGCTTAACTTTGTCATGGTCACATATTCCATGGGCTTGGCTAATTCAAATGTGCAGAGTGCTCAGTCTCAAGATCAGATAAGTGCATTTAGATCTTTCGGTGCTTGTGCTGTTTGGCCCTTATTAACGTGGGCCCTTGGCGAGTTTGTTATTTTGCAAACCGCAATTAGCATCCATCATTCCTTCTTAAACTCAGACTTTCCTTTGGTCAATACGATCGATCCGCAATAAAATAAGCGAATAACCCTACCCAACCATTTTTTTTATTTATTTTTTTGGCTGGATTAAATATAACTAACTTAACTGTTCATGTAAGTGTCATGCATGAAGCGTTTGCTCAATTATGAATTATTTATAAATGATTAATCTGACTATATCGAATGAACACTTTAAATTCTTAGAAGTAAATTATGTCTATAATTTCGAGAGTACAATTCAAAGTATTTAGTAGAGTAACTTTTAAAACTAATAAAATTAATTAATTAATTAAAGAGTTTAATTAATTATTAATTTTATTATAGCTTGAAATTATAGGTCCATAAATCCTTATATCGTCATTGCAATATTTACAAGACGAGATAAATTATTGGGATATAATATCACTCGAAATAAATAATGTAATTATTTAATTAAATTAATTTTAGAACACGTTGTGGTAGGACCATAGGAGGTCACACGCCCAAGCACAGGGAAGTGCGGGTGATACACCGTGCTATGGCTCAGAGTGGTGCTGTTGAGGGCAAAATGTTGCTTCCAAAAGCGACTCAAGAAGACGGGGTCACGGTCCGAGATAATAGAGCAGGGAAAACCATGGAGTTTGACCACAATATTGACAAACAGCTCAGCAGTTTTCAAGGCCGTGAAGTGGGGCGGAAGGGCGCCAAAATGAGCCGATTTCGTTAAACGATCCATAACTACCAAAATCACAGTGAACCCGCAGGCAAGCAGAAGACCTGTAATAAAGTCCATCGTGACTTCTTCCCAAACTAGGCAGGGAATCATCAGGGGTTGACGGAGATCAGTTGGCGGTTGAGTAGAGTGTTTAATTTGTTGGCAAACCAGGTAAGCCGAAACAAATTATTCCACATCCCGCCGCATCTGTGGCCAGTATAAGGTCGAGGACAGACGAACCAAGGTACACTTGATGCCAACATGACCGGCCAGCGGTGTAGCATGGAATTCCTAGAGCATCACTGATTTGAGGATGGAATTGGGATTGATATAATACCGGTTGCAAAAGAGAAGGAATCCACCGTGCACCGAGTAAGGAGACGGCAAGGAACCCTCAATAACTTTCTTGTGAAGGCAGGACCATATCAGGAAGGGTGGCATCCTCGGCGCGAAGGGTGGATAAGAGATCGAACGAGGGCTAGCTGGCCAAAAGGAGACACGCTGCTAGAACATCGAAGGTGTCAGTCGAACTGTCCTTATGCACACGAGACAGGGCATCTACGGCTTGATTAGTACGGCCTGGTTTGTATTCTATCCAAAAATGATAGCCCAACAATTTACGGACGTAGACCTACTGATCCGGAGTTTAAATAACCAATTGAAGAAGCTCCTTGATGCTCTTGTGGTCGGTCTGAATAATGAAAAGCCTGTCGAGGAGGTACTGGCGCAATTTTTGGACATCCTTGGCAATAACATGCAACTCTTTAAGGTAAGTGGAGGAAGCGCGGAGTTTGAGTCCCAACTTTTTGCTAAAGTAGGAGATGGGGTGTCCCTCTTGCAACAGAACTGCTCTAATACCAACATTCAATGCAACGGTCTCAATGACGAAGTCCAAATTGAAATTTGGTAGCAGCAAAATCGGGGCTTCTACCATGGCTTGTTTGAGTGCCTCAAAGGCAGCAGTGGACGTTGGCATCCAAGTGAAAGCATCTTTGCACAAAAGATCGGTCAGAGGGGCAGCAATGGAGGCATAGCCCCGAATGAAACATTTGTAGTACACCGTGGGACCCAAAAAACCGCGGAGGTGCTTCACATTCTTTTGTTGAGGCCAACGCACCATAACTTCAATCTTTTGAGGATATGCTTGTACACTGTAAGAGGAGACAACATGGGCCAAGTATTCAATGCGGTCTTGGCAGAAAAGGCATTTGGAAAGCTTGACAAAGGAATCGTACGATTGTAGGCAAGCAAGGACCTGTTCTAAGTGGCCGGCATGCTCAATCAAATTGGCACTGTAAACCAAAATGTTGTAAAAAAAAGTGATCATAAACTTTCGTAAGAACAAAGCAAATATTTGATTCATTGTAGCTTGGAATGTCGACGGCGCGTTCGTTAAACCTAATGGCATAACAAGAAATTCATAGTGGCCCTCATGGCTCCAAAATGCTATTTTGTACGTGTAACATGCATACATTCGGATTTGATGATAACCAGCCCTTAAATCTAACTTGCTAAAAACAATCGCATCCCCAAGTTCATCAAGTAGCTCATCTATTGTGGGGATGGGAAACTTGTCCTTAATTGTAGCCGCATTCAATGCTTGATAATCTACACAAAACTGATAAGAACCGTCCTTCTTCCGTACCAACAAAACTGGGGAAGAAAAAGGACTGGTGCTGGGTCGAATGATGCCCTGTCAAGCATCTCACGAATGAGCTTCTCCATCTTCATTTTTTGAAAATGTGGGTACCGATACGGTTGAGCGTTGATGGGTCTAGTGTTTGGGAGCAAATGAATTTTATGGTCAATGAGGCGGTAAGGAGGTAACCCGGTGGGTTGGAGGAATAAAGGTTTGTAACGGTGAAGTGTGGTGGCAATAGCTCCAGGCAGTGAACTAGGAAACTTAACCTGTGAAGAGACTTCCCCTGTTTCTCTAGTCCAAGAGTCCTCCTCTGGCAACGAGTGTAGCTCAAACAAACTGTGCACAATAGCACTATGCATCAAAACTTGAAACTGATGCAGAGTAATCAAACTCGAGGTATTGGTGAAATCATCCCGCAGTATCACCAGTTTGCCATCCTAACAGAACTCCATGGACAGAGCTGAATAATCATGAGAGACCCGTCTGAGGCGTTGCAGCCGTTGAATATCAAGCACCACATCAGGTCCTTCAATCAGTAACACAAAGAGGTCTAGCACAAATGCATACCCTTGAAGAGTCAAGGTCACGTTAAACAAACTGGCACAGAAGAAAGTCACCATTGCCAATGTAGACCTTGAAATTGGATGTGGGCTGAATAGTGAGGCCAAGACGTTCAGCCAAAGCCGGTTTGATGAAATTATGTGTACTGCCGCTGTCAGTAAGGTCCTGAAACTGATGAGAGCCTATTTCGCCAATCGAGCGAAGTGAGCGAGGGTTAACTTGGCCCGCCAAAGCATTTAAGCTGGAAATATCACTCGTGACAACCTCCTTTGCGGGCTCTGGTGGTAAGGGTTCTTTAAGCTGTTCAGCCTCAGAATCGTCGGTCCCGAGTAAGACCAAATACTTACTACGACAGCGATGATTAGGGCCATATTTCTGGTCACAATTATATCATAGACCCTTCTCTCATTTCTCCCGTAATTCAGCTGGGGATGACCGCCGAACTGGGAGGGGTGGTGTGGGTAACAGGGGTGGCAATGAGGCTTGTTTGGTTAGGGTAGTACTAGGGCGAAGGGTATGGCATTGCAGGGGCCGTATTGGTGGAATGGACATGGTTTTTTGTGTATGGGTGGGAAGGTGGGTTATTAGGCGTGGTAGGAGGAGGAAGTGGACTGGTATATGGTGACCATTTTGTCCAAGAACGACTATTGTGTTTGGTGTCCTCCGATCGAGCCTCATAAGCTCGAGCCAGAGCAAAGGCTTCCATCAGTGAGGTCGGACGGGAAAACAACAACTCCTGGCGGAGATCCAGTTTTAAACCCGTGATGAAGAAACTAATCAACAAGGGCTCAGAAATTCGAGTTACCTTATTCATCAAATCCTCAAAAGCAGATTGAAAATCGGCCACAGTAGTAGTTTGGGTCAATTTAGAGAGATTACCTTGATGGTCCTCGTACATCGAAGCGCCAAATTGATGCCGCAGATTAGTCAAGAAATCCTTCCACGTGGCTAACAGGTTGTTAGCCTTCATCCATTGATACCAAGCAGCTGCTCTACCTTCCATTTGGAAAGAGACAATCCGCAGGCGAAGAGACGCGGGTGTACCATGGAAATCGAAGAACTCCTCAATTCTAAAGATCCACCCATTAGGATCCGATCCATCGAACTTAGGGACCTCTATTTTCATGGATCGTAGGGCCGGAGAAATCTCAGTACCGCCGGAAAATACTTCCGAAGAGGTTGGTGCTCTGGGCGGTTTGCCTGAAGAACTGGGGGCGACCTCCAGCGAGCCATGGATTTGCGAGCGTAACTCCTCCAACCGAGAATCCATAGTCGCCATGTATTGCTGCAAGGTTTGATGAAGAGACATTGTTTGACCTTTGAACTGAATTTGGAGTGCCTTGACCGCTGCAACCACGTCGGAATCGGCCATCATCAAAGCCAATAAAAGCACCAATGATACGGTCTTGCCTGCAACAAGGAAAAGAATATTATAAATTTCACTCTTTAAGCGAGTGCCAGCTCTGGGGAACAAAATCAAAAGGAAAGAAGCAGAGGAAGAAAGCATAGAGAAGATTAAAGAATAATGAGATTCAGCAATTTCATTGAATACCGGAAATTCTCAAGAACAAAGCAATATATCCTCTTGGATGAGGAATTGCAAAAAATGAGGCAACCGCCTAACAGAATGGCAAAATACAAGCCTAAGAAGGAAAAAAGCAATAATCAAAACATAGAGGTATTCTCAACAATCTCGAGGATTCATCCTCCCACACACTACAGTGACCAGCCACGTATCTATGGCTTCTTCAGGTTTCATAATCCTTTAGCCATGCTGGAGGCTTCCTAATTCCTCTTGGGCCATCCTTAGGCTGCTCATGTTGGGCTAATTTGCACTGGGCTCTGCCGCAACTTGCCCCAAAGAAATGGGCAAGGACGCTCCAGTAATTTCATGTCTCAAAATTATTTTAATAACATACTCTCACTATAATTTATAAAAAAAAATGTTAAAAACACAAAAATGAAGATATTCATCAGCCGGCCAATAAGGACCAAAAAAAAAAAAAAAACGAAACAACAACAACAATAATGCTACAAAGAAGGCAAACGAAAATAATAAGAAATAAACACTACCGGTTGAAACCTTACTGGTTTCATTTATACAACTTGAAATCCTTTCCCTTTCAAACTCAAAAAACATAAACATTTTTCATTTTAGAATCAATATCATGTCTTTTTTTTTTTTTTTTGGGCAGGTTATTGGGTTGTGCCAATTATTCTTAAGACCTTGAAACCACAATCACCATTACTTAAGTACATGATTATTGATTTTCTCTCCGATCGAGAGCTTGACAACAGTGAGAAACTAAACCAAAGCAAACCATACATATTCTTATTACAGCCATTTTTTGCTCTCGCGCCATATATCATCAATCATCAACATCACGAAACATCAATTGCAAGAACCTGCCTCACCCATGCTAAGTCAAACCACTGAAAACTGAATAACGAACCTAAATCGATTCAGCAAGCTTTTCTTTCAACAGAGCACTGAAACAACTCATTTGATCTCTACTTAGTGTAACACTAAGTTCCACCCCACCTTTCTCGTCCCTACTCTCAACAAGACCGATGGCATTTGATTCCTCAATGTGGACAAACTCGACATTTTTAGGCTTCCCCCACCCAAAATCCACCTCATAAAAACCCAATTTCGTCGAGCCCGAAACGCTGACATATTTCCCTTGTTTCGTTATTTCATCGTGCTTCTCAAACAACTTTTCAAACTCTTTTAAAGCTTCGCCCTCCAATCTCCCAACTTCCCTCCCTATGGCCTTCGCAGCCGCGACGACACCATTGTCTCCCAACAGCACCTTCCTCTTCACCGGTGCGAAACACACCGTCAGGCAATTTCCAAAGTAAGTCATCGGTAATGGAAACACGAGGCGGCTTCGACAATCCGCTACGAAGATGAAGTGGTGAGGCTCATCATCATCTTCGTCGACTCTCGAATCATTTCTCTCTCCGATTTCTTTTGATTTGGCTAAGCAAACCCACAATAACGCACAAGAAGCGACAAAGGACGATACATGAAACGGTGTGGATTTTTCGTCTTTGGCCAAATTATTTGTCACCCAACGCTTAAGTCTATCCATCTGTACTTGGCTAAGAACAAAAGTGGCACGAACCTTATCAGCAAGACAATCAAGGACTGGTTCTGCATCCACATGATCCTCCGACGTCGATGCGCAACTCCACCACGATTTCAAGAACGTGAGGTCCACGCCATCCGGGTCCTTGATCGCCGCCCTGTCGTGAGACGGCAGCCGTGGATTAGCGTGAATATCTCCTCCGCTCTTGGAAACCGACGCCCAGAATTTCATGAAGTGTTCAAACGACCTCCCGTCAGAGGCGACATGGCAGACCCGGAAGCCAATGCAGATCCCGGAGTTAGGAAAGACGGTGATTTGCAAGGCCATGACAGGGCCCACACGTGAGCCGGCTTCCACACTTGGCGGAGCCAGCTTGGGGACGAACGGGTGAAGAGTTCCGACGGGTTGCGGGTACTGATTCGCCAAGAGAAGGTTGAAGTCTGCGGAGGACTCGGCGACAGTGAGAGAGACGGAGGAGTCGCCGTCGGTGAAGAGCATGTGGGGCTTCGCCGGCGGCGGAGGGGATACCAAGTTGGCGGCCAAGGGGAAGAAGTGTTGGAGAGTTAGGGAGAGAGAGTGTTTCAGAGTGGGAAGGATGGTTTCGAAGAAGTGGTGGATGGGGTGAGGAAATTCGTAGAAGAAGAGGCTTTTCATGTGGCCAACAAAAAGCCATGGCAAGTCGAAGTAAGTGAGAGGAAGAGATGTTGAAGGGACTGATCCTGTCGGTGGAGAGACCTTGCATTGCTCGATCACCTTCACTTCCCTTTTTGGCAATGCCATTAGCGATGGTTTGGATGCAAAGAGAGAAATTCCGGTTGATTAATGCTCAAATATTGAGAAAGACGTTCTTTTTTGCCGTGTGTGTAGATATACATACACACATATATGTATAGATAATAATGACGATGCGTGTATTACATGAAAATCAATTAATTAGAGATCATCTGATCCACGAGTATACATAATATATTTTTTTTTTTGAAATGACTGTTAATTGAATGCACAACATAACGTGGAAAGAGAAACTCCAATGTTTGGCTACTTTTCATATAATTTTTAAATAACAGTTGTTTTCAAATGTTGAATTAGTTTTTAATGCTCAGATTTGTGCAGAATTTGTATTAAAAAATTATAGTGCGCCACAAAAATTACTCATGCTACAGAGTTGATCGTTAAAAATATTGTTTGTCAATATGGGTGGCTCATCTGATCCACTATGAACGATTACATTACTACTTTTAATCAGATAGTAACGGATTTGTTCAATTTAGATTAAACTTTTAAAGATAAAAATTTAGTTGTAATGTTATTGTCATTTTTTTTATGAGTTTGAATATTTAAAAACTACTTTACTTCATAGTAAAAGAAGTGTATCTTATTGTAATTTGTGTTGCTTTGTACAATAATGAATTAAAAAGAAAAAATAAGAAAGAATGCAGGAACGTGGAGATGAATGATGAAAGAGAAAAGGGTCGACCCTGGAGATATGAGATATTCGAAGCAATTACTCACTTCCCAAAAAGCCAAATGACGAACTTTAAACAAAGAAATAATGGAAGAGCATATACAATCAAGATACTACACCGAATCTCCTACAATCAAGGTAATGCACGTAATCTCCTACAATTGATTCACAGATAATATATATTGAAGGAAAGGATATTTACGTATCCTTAATAGAGCACTCTCCAGAAAATGTGATTGTCAAAGGAAAAGAAGGGTGGACTTAGAGAGCTCTCTTGAGATTTATGCGGACAGCAAATGAAAGAAACGGAGAGAGAGAGAGAGAGAGAGAATGGAGTGGAGTGGGTTTGCATGATAAGAATTGCGAAAGAGCTGTCTGTCTAGGGATTTGGCAGCTTCTGCCGTCCTTTTCCTTTTCATTCTCCGTTTTTCCCTCAGAAGTGCTGATTATTGGAAAAGTGCCTTCTTTCTGGAGCATTTCTTCCCTACTTCCGTTTGCTTCCTAATTCTGCTACTCGCCTCCTCATGCCAAGTAATTTCCATCTGTTTTTTTCAAGGGAAAAAAAGTCGAACCAACCCTTGTATGTGGTGGGTCTAGCATTTTGAAAATAATTGGAACGGACCCGCAACATCGTCAATAATTTAATCACCTATTAAAGTCTCCGCTTGCTTATAAAAAATAAATTAAAAAAAATTCACTTATTAGAGTCAAAATTTTGTGCTATTTCCCTATTTCTTAGGTTAGGAATACAGCTAGGTTTCACGAGTATATATCATTTCTCTTGATTACAGACTATTGTAATTGTTTCGAATCAGTTATTTGTTTCTTCATTTTCTTAATGCACGTACAAATTAACAATCTACTACTATGTTTCTTATGTTGAATTCACTTTTGCTATTAGGTTATTCCATACGTCGTAGGCAACAAAGATTAGTGAAGATTGGGTCTCGTTCTTTTAACAACTCAAATCACAACTCAATTTTGTTTGTAACAGCGCTATTTCTTATAAAAATTTAAATTCAACTATTTTGTTACAGTATTTTTTTCACATAAACAACTAAAATTCTCAATTTGAGTTCTCAACTCTGAATTTCTAATCCTCTCTCTATCCTAATCAACTTGGCTAATATATATAGGACCAATGCATGAATAGTTACTCTTGACAATGTATTGGGAACAATTAGAAGAATTCTTATGGAAGCCTATTATGCCCCATTTAGATTATGGTACCAGAGATTTTGTCATACGAAAAGATACATGAAGGAATAAGATTTGGGACACCTGCGGATCATGAGTCATAGGTTAGGTTTTTGCTTCTTCTTTTTTTTCCTCTTGGCATTTGGTCAGCGTCAGACAAGAGGTTGTGCATGCTTTTTTTTTTTTTTTTGTTTCGTCCTTGACAGGCTAACTCAGTCCACTTCCTATGAATTGGCTTCAGACGATCATATAAAGTAATTTAATTGCTCAGAGAAACACAGAAAGAGAGAGAGAGGGAGAGAACGCTAGATTTAAATCTGTCACATGCAATTTCTCAAGCCTAGCTACAAACTGGGTTTTTGCGTTTTTAGGAGAGGGACAGTCTATTTGTATTTACTTGATATATATGAAGAAAAGAGATCATCAAGGATTAATGATATACAAATTTCAAATTAGAAATGGATTCAGTTTGTCTCTTAGCAAGTGCTAAAGCAATCCAATCATACCAAGGTTGAGACCGGTTGTTTATTCTGTAATGCATATTTTTAAATGTTAGATATTTTTAAAATCAGCAATAATAAAAAAAAATGTCTTTAAGATAGGGTCTCACATTAATAATGTAGGCTTTTGATCGTTTGATTTGATCAAAATTACATTTAAATTGAAAAGTATTCCGAACAGAAAATCTGATAGCCTCTGACGCCCCACACCATTGCGGCAGGAGGGGGTTTGCCCATCAGCCTACTTTGGCAAGAGGTGGCAGGAGCGCAACGATCTAGCCCAAACCTACTTAAACTAAGGGCTTGGCCCGGTCTGAAGGAAGAAGAAAGTAGACCCTGTAGAGAAGCGGATAGGAGGGGTAGCCTATAGACTCAAGCGATCAGCTCGGGATTAAAAAAATAAGGTAATTTATTTTTTCAATCCTATCTTAAAAATCTCTATAAAAAATTTATACTAAACTAACAAATTTCATATTGATGTGAAGGTTTAAAATAGAGTTCTAATGGTGCAAGTTTTTTTTTTTTTTTTTTTTAGAATATTCATGTTTATTATATATATATATATATAATGTATATGTTTTTATGAAAAGAGACTAATTAGCATCGTTAAGGAGGTTCCACACCAACGACGACACAATATAGGGAGTTCAACAGATACCTTGAGACAGAATTCTCGGTGATAGATGGTGCTGATAATGATGACAATTTCAAAATTTTGGCATGGTGGAGGTTACAAGGTGTAAGATTTCCAATACTTTCAATATTAGCACGTGATATCTAGACTATTCCAGTATCAACAGTGTCTTCAGAGTCTGCCTTTAGCACAACTGGGAGGATAATTGAAGAACGAAGGACTTCGTTGACTCCAGAAATGGTTGAGGTGCTAATATGTCTAAAAGATTGGGAAAATGCTTCTTTGCGAATGCAACACACAGCCGAAGACAGCGATTTAATGGATCAATTTCAAAACTTATACATTGACGATGACGCTTCTGATGCGGGGAGTACGGTAGCAGGCAGTTAGATATTTTTGTTTCTTAATATAAATTGTAACTGTAAAAATAATACTGCCCTCTTTTTTCCTTACCAAGGTTTTATCCCAATGGGTTTTTCTTGGTAAGGTTTTTAATGAGGTAGTTATAAATACATAAATAAAGTCTTATTTCATTAAAATTTTACAATATTCACTATTTATTATAAATTTCGTTATATTTTTTTTTAATATTTTATAAATCATGCTCGGGCCGGGCCGATTCGGGCCGGCCCAGCCGGAAATAGCCCGGCCCGCCCCTCGGCCCGTCAGGCCTTAGGGCCGGGCTGGGCCTATATAAAATTATTTAGGGCCGGGCCGGCCCGGCCTGAACTACCCTTTCGGGCCGCCGGGCCGGGCGGTCTGAATTTTCATCTTTGCCCCCAATCTTCTTTCTAAATAAAGATGCGACTATGAACTTGGGTCCGTCTGCGGGTCTTAGTCCATACTAATATAGTTTACAACATGGGCTGCTACCAGTAACTCTGTTTAAGTCCAACATATCCCACCGAAATACTTAAACCTATAGGTTAGCCAGGTCCGGCCGGTAGTAAATCACGGGCTATGACGGTCCATCTAGAGTCATCTCTTAAAAAACGCATTTTTGTAAAATATATATTTTTAGATGTACGTATAATTTGTCCTTAGATAATATATTTATAATGTTTAGAAATATACATATTTATTATATATAAGTTTGAAATGCTTCTGCGAAAGTGGAGTTACGGGATCTTAGGTGTCAAAGCGTGGATTTCATATAGTGTAAAAAAAAGAAAAAGAAAAAAAGAGGTGCTATATTTGAAATGTACGAAATAATTTGGACATTTGTTATACTTTGAGTGATAGTAATACATTGTAACTATTAACGTATTTGTTTTTCATTTTGTTTTTTTTTTGTTTGTTTGTTTGATTTTTATTTTTTATTTTGCAATCTTAAAAGCATTTTATGTTTAATTATCATGACTTACTCATCTTTTATTTCAAAATTTTTTTATTGAATTTTCCTTCGAAAACTTTTTCATGTGAAAGTTATAAAATAATATGTTTCTTTTTATAATTTCTTTTGGCTATTTAGATTCTTTTATACTTACAAACTTGATTAGCAATTCTAAATAGATGTTTAAGGTGGTAAAAAAGGAAAAAAGAGGAAAGTGAAAGAGATTAAGGGTTAGTGAAGTGAGATATTATGTTACTCATCCAGGCTAATGGCACGGCCCACCCAGTCCACACAAAAATAGCTTGTGGTGCGGGCTTGGCTAAGAAGTTGTCTATCATGGCCTTGCTTGGCCAATGTTGAGTTGGACCGGACTAAACCGACCAACGATTCGTGTGGGCCTAAAGAGAATTGACCGAATTGTTCAACGTTTGAACTACACTAAAATACTACTTCAAAAATAAAGGAGAATTGTACTACAACACAATAAAGCAACATAAAGCAGCCCCAATGAGATAGAACTTTCTAATAAAGCTAGCATATTTGTGAGAATTATTCCAGAAAGATTAAAAACAAAAATCTTTTCTTGAGAAATTTGATGATATGGGATGAGGTCCAAAATTGGGAATGAGTTCATATGCCTCTTTTTCTATC